AAAACGTTCCAGTTTTTAGTTTCCAAGTTAATCAGCGCTCCTGAAATTTTTAAACTTAATCAGTCCAACATGAAACTTACCAAATTAACTAAATTTGATTCACTTTACTCCTATTAGGGGCCCATAACATACATACTACGCGAAACCAGCAAATAATTGCATTGAAATTATGGAAGATTACAATATAATATCAAACTGGCATTATGGAACGAATTAAAGCTCACCAAACCAAAATTCAAATTTAATTTAAGGCCTGGCTGGTTTTATTTCAATCAGAGTTTATCCGTACGTTACATTTATTTTATTGTAACGATCGCAGTGGCAGTAATGCATTTCCAATAGCTATTTATCGGTGAAAATATAACGTTTATTCATGTGGAAATGTTCGAAACAAAACACGTTTGATTCTGTTATTTCAAATTTGCGCTTTCCATCAGTTATGAGAATTTGAAACATTGCCGAGATCCTTAAATTCGAAAATAACTGGAGCTAAAAAACATGAAAAACTAAAAAAGTTATTAACGCCTAGCGTTTTGCTATACAAAAAATATGCCTATGAATCAGCAAATTGTTTTAATGAAAGTTTTCTTTTCTAGTCATCTTTAGTCGATGCTATTTTTGATTATAAAGTAATGTGAATGTTTTATTTATTGAAAATTTAATTATGATCAGCTTCATAGCTTTATGCGGAGACGTGGTCAAACTGCTGCTAAAAAATGTCTGTCACCACAGTTTAAACACATCTATCTACATACTTTTATGGGAGCAACAATAGTTCACATTTTACAAGAGTTTAGATCTGCGTTGTCGGTACAGCAATTAATTTCATATGCAGTAATATTAGCATCCACAAAATTGGCATGAACTAGATCAATAGCAGTAGAAGTAGGTCAATATTTAAGCGCAAAGCAATTTTTTGGAAGACTCTCAAGTACACTTCTCTTCAAGCACCAAAAATTGTACCAACCAAAGAGGACCTCTCATTGCCAAATATGCATTTAATCGTTACTCCCGAGTCAGTATCAGTCTGTATTACGGCGGTACCGGTTTGATACGGTTTTTTATTCACAAACCATATTTTCACTTTTAGAAAATGTAGTTTGTTTTAACGTTTTTTAGGAATTTGCCTGAATTGTTCAGGATAATTAGGTAGTTTCGTTGGTATCTATTTAAGCTTTTATACATATATATTTACTATGTGCTTTTAAAATGTATTTTTACTCGTACGTCTTTGTGGATGTAAATTGAAAATAAGCAGACATTTGCTCAATTTTTTCTTATTGTAAAAGCTGATTTTGTGAGGCTGAAGTAAAAAATGTCTATGTATTTATACTGACAACAATTGAATTCCAATACTTAAATAGAAATTTCATCTGACTTACTTTCTCAATTTTCTGAAGTACTTTGACTTGAGTGCTAGGATATACGTAAAATCGGTAAAAGAAATACATCGCTTTGCATCGGGACCACAACAAATGCACGTTTATAAATCCATGCAAAAGCATGCCAATCCACGAGAAAACTTACGCAAACTCTGCCCTTTGTTCACGTTCTTTCCCGACGTATTTCTCTTAAATCTTGTCGCTGCGGAAATTGCTCCTGAGACTTGGCTTTTGCAAATAATTCCGGACAATATTCTAAGGGTCCGACGCCTTTTAGTTAAGGAACGACGCGCGTTATAAATAAGAAGTTAAATTTTCCTGAAACTTATGTTGATAACACCAACCAGAAGATGTAATATAATTTCTCACGTTCTATCAAGTTTTATTAGTCTCACGACGGCTGCGGCAAAGAGCCCATGAAAAGAGAAACAAGGAAATGATAAACAGAAAGTAGAAATGAGATATCACAGAAAGTGTCTTGTTAAGAATTGGTCGAGATATAGATCGTTTCACAAAAAGTCAACAAAATAGTGTGATGTTTATTAAATGGCCAGATTTCAACACATTATATATAATGAAATATATATAATGTGTATAATATAATATATATATAATAATATATATAATGCTAAATACATGAAACTCTATTAAAAGTTTGTGGTTTTTTGTCTTGAAATTTTGGGCAAATCATCGGATTAATCGAAGCCCTAATAACAACTTAGAAAATGTACTACGTTCCTTCTTTATCATTAATCACGCTTTATTAAGAAAAAAAAAATCAGTTGGACTTACTGTTAAGACTGGATGCTAAGAATATACAGTGTGCCTATTTAAGTTCAAATTATATGATAAATTTTCTGTTATTCACTTTACAAAAAAAATTATTCTTCATAAAAAGTTTTGCTTCAATTTCAAATTAGCTAAATTCATATAGACGTCAAAAGAAGTTCATTGTAGTAAGCCGTATTTACAAATAAAGTTTACACAGAAATATACAAATATAAAAACAAATTTAATATTTATATTCGAATCTCGTTCGTAACCCTTCATACAAATGATATTCTTTCATCTTCATTGGGCAAAAGAGTCTTGGATTTTAATTAATTTACACGTTGAGGATTTTTTAAATGTGTTTCTAAATTTGTTTGATCGGTTGTTGATTCATTGGCAATTAAAGTATTTCTAAATTCTTCAATTCAAGCTATTTTTTCTGGAAGATCTTTTAAGATAAGATAAGATTGGGAGTAGCAATGTTTCCAATCAGCAAAAAAGCTGGGTGACCTTGTATCTCAAGAACGATAAATTGCTCAAAATAAATGTTCAAAACATTCTCCAGAAGGCGGCATCTAATTCTTTCCGATTCAGATTTTATGATCAATTGATGAAAGAATAGCTCTTACAAAAGAACAAAGTAAGTCTTTACAATGATCATTTTGTTGGGGGCTCACATGACGATTATTATTCTTAATCGTATCAGGTTCTAATTAGTAAATTTTTGGAAATCGTCAATTTGCAGTTATGTCACATGCCCGAAACCTTAACATGAAAATAGAAAATAATTCTCTGATGCATTAATTAATGGGAAATAGTAAGCAATAAGTGAAGAAAGAAAATAGTAAGAAAGTGGGACAAGAAAACCGTCAACCATGAACTGTTGAATTTTATTCGTATTTTTATACACAAAAATGTAGTAAGACTTACATTATGAACCGTCTCAAAACCAACCGAGACAACTCGCGCGAAGCCCTGTTGAGTCAGGTTATTGCAAGAATATATTTTACAATGCATCTAAAGAAGCCGAACTTAGTTAAGAACATTTTTGCTGCACGCTGCTTCGTTCCTCTTCGCTCTAGATCCAGTTGAGTTTGCCGCGCACTTTGTCGAAATATCATAACCAAACTGTTCAAGTTACTACATAGTAATGCATAAATTTATTAATAATTATGGATTACTTTTAACTCATTATTCTGGTTTTATTAGAAGTACTGAGGGTATTAGAAAGACAGATAAGCCCGAATAACAACTTTCCTCAATGTTTAGTAGCCTGCATTGTTTTTCTCTTCTTTCACTCAAAAACAGTTGCAAGTTGTGCTGCACTAGGCAAGATCGTGAGACAACATAAAATATTTTTGGCTATAAAATCCGAACTGGGTGCTTCGTTTTACTTTCGCCAAGTCAGTGTGGCTCGACTGAAATTAATGAAAGAAAAGGACGTTGTCTGGGCCACATTCCCCAATGACGTTGGGCTTTAGTTCGGTCTGGTACGCGTTGTCCTTCAAGGGTTTCAATACAATATTTAACAGTTGCAAGATGGTGGCCTAAGACACTAAGCTACAGTCTAGAGTAAGCGTCAGCTTCAGAGTGGTGCCCGACATTTTGATGTGAGAGGATTCTGAAGTTAACTCTATTAAGATCTTGTGATGAAACATGACGGTTCTGTTGGCGCTGAAAGCTTTTACCCGTTGTATCAAAATTATCGGAAAATAGTGGCAGACAAATTTTGGATCACCGAAATTTTCATAATAACATAATAACTGATTTAATAACTATTATTTTCTCCTATAAACTACAGCACTATATTCCACTTCAAACTGAATTTAGTTCAGCTTATATGCATGAATTCCTCACATGTCTCCTACATCGATACTAGTTATAATCTTACCAATTAGGGAACAATTTCAAATGCATAATTGTTGCAGTGGTCGTTTGAATACGGTGGACGAACCGTATGAATATGTACGGACTCCACTGAAGCGACTTCAGGCTTCGATTCGAATGCTTACGAGGCTTTGTACTAATTGACTTAATATGGAACGCAATAAATTTTCAATCAATTTGAAACCGGCACTATTTGAATAACTTGCCGGGTAGGCTCAGTTATGTTAATTGTACTTTCTAGGAACGAAACTCTGGGATTTTAGGAAAATATGGGTGCTGAAACTGTAGAAAAGATCTGTCTTAGTGACACGCAAACTGACCCACTTTCTATGGCCATTGATCATAATGATTAGAAATTTCTTTCATGCAGGTTCAAATCGCACGCTTGTATGTTACACAAATGTGCTCTGCGTGCATACTCCCAACTTTGTAACGAGAATAGGCCACATGTTGGAATTCGGCTTTAAATGTTACACTTGAGTTACAAACTCAAAGTTTAAAAACTGTATCCATATCTTACATTTACTCAAAATTAATTTTACTGAAAGCCTGGTGATTGGGATACTTACTCAAATTACACTAATTTCAATATTATCAGAAATTCAGACGCAGTAATTGGTAAGAAATCTTTCCCCACATGTGCTTTTTTGGCACTTAAAAGTCACTACTTTAAAGATTACTAAAATATAGATGCAATTTTGGTTACCATTGGGTTTTAAATTTCATTGAAAAAAACACAGCTGCCTTCAGTGCGTTACTTCCATTAGAGGAATTTCTTTCTACTAAAATTGTATTTATTGCGACATTAAAATATACTATTTCCCATATGCAATGTTGAATGTGAAAATATTTTTTTAACCAACTTTAGTTAATAATTTCCATTAAAATAATTTTGTTTATTTCCTACGATATTTTATAGTCAAACAATAAGCATATTAATTAAATAACAGTATTACTTACCAATTGTTGTTATCAATGTGAGTGAATATAAAAAACTGGAACTGAAGCTCCACTTGTGTAAGTTCTGTTGATAGTACGACATAGTCCCAACTTGTGTATTATAACTGCTGTCACTGTTGCGGAGTGCTTTCACTAGTGCATCCTGAAAGAGCATCACTTCCTCAGCGGCAAGTTTCGTCCAGTTTTCCTTATACAAAATATTTAAGTCTTCTGTTATGCTCCATAGTCTGTTAACAGTGTCCGCACGAAGAATATCTATTTCGCTATTGTCAGTCTGAGGATTAGCTTTGGAGGCAGCCACTGCGGTGTCCTGGTACAAGTCGCCTATAAAATGAAAACATTTATCAGTTTTTTTACTAAATTTCTATGCCCTCACTAAAACCATTAGTTTTACGGCAAGAAATTGAACATTTGCATAAGCAAATTTACATATTTTCTTATAGGAATATTGACAAGTAACTCTATGGTCACTTCAATTCCACTTTTCGTAATGATTCCTGCTTTTTTCAGTGAATTTGTTCGGTTTTGTCTTCCGGTTATTCAAAGCGGTTTTATGTAGAACTATTAGTTCAAATTATATGACCTATTTCTCACGGTATTGTATTGCTGAGCTTCTATTTCAATTTATTAACTGCTAATTGTAGCACAGTTGGAATTTAGAATGTATAGAAATAATATGATATAGTTCATTGTAATGTGACCTTTGTCTATATCTAATATATAGGTAATCAGCCTAGTTCAATGTGATGTCTTGTCATTATACTAAACCGCTAAAATATTATTAATGATTTAAAGCTTTGAAACAGTTGATGAGGCAAGCATAATAGTATTTGAAACCATCGAAGGAAATCGACGTAAACAAACACCAATATATTTTAACGGCACAACTTTGCCATTGAGCTCAAATGTCCCGCCGGTATGAATTTATTCCATTTTTCTGTAAATTGCACAGGAAAAGTTTGACTACTTAAGAATACTTCGCACTGTTGAAACTATTACATATTTTTTCAATAAATCATCAAGACACACCCAAACGATTCTTTCATGAATCTAAAAATAATGGGTGATTACTTTGTGCCAATATTTTCCAAGGAACAGTATTGTACGTTGGGACGATATACATTGTGATAAAACGGTGCTAAAGTTACATGATCATCAATTATATTATACTTGTATTATTAATTCAATATGTAAGAATAATCGCACCACTCAGTTTTATCAGTTTTTGTCCAACAGAATATTTGTAAATTTTGTGTGTTCTCACCAACGATATTCCTGTTCTTTACTTTTGTTTGCAAGCCGAACCGATCTGGGCTTGCAGAAACAGTGACTTGGTTGAGTAAATAATTTGATATCATCTTATTTCATTGGGAATATATGAACTGCAAATATTGAAACTTTTAGAAACATGAATGTAAAACCTGCAAGAAGCGGAACATATATTTTGGGACAGAATATTAACAAGAAACATCAGCCAGCCCAAAACTGCCTGGCGTATTAAAAAAATTTACTTAAATTGGTATTTATATTTTAGTTTCATTTACACATGGATATCTGGAAAAAACATTCGGAAGCAAATTTATTTAGACTGGTCTTTGACGATTCTAAGATTAATTACAATCAATCAGATTTTCAGTGATAATATGATTCAAAATGCAGGCAGACCACTCAGTTTTGCTGGGTTTTGGAAGTTCAATGTTCTACCCAAGAGCACAAATTCAACAAAGTATTGCAACGACAATTTATGAAACAAAAATGTATTTCCTAAATGTTTAAACGGGGGTGAAGATGAATTCATATACGACTTTATATCCGATCGAAGACCAACAGCAAATATTGAAGACAAAGACGAAAAATCGATTTAAACTTTTGATCAGCCTGCGCCATCACATAATACTATGTGTATTAGAACAAGACTTTACTTTCTTCACCCCAGAAACATATTTGAATTTGCAATTTGCAATTGCAATTTGAATAAAAATTGAAGACCAAAGTTCAAGAATTGAACGAAAAAGTGTTTGAAGAACGCATATATTTTTACCGAAAAGTATATACAATATGGAAGGCAAAGTCCCTATCGTATGTGATGAAGAATGAGACAGTGATAAATCAAATAAGGAATAAACGTGTACGGACTTAAATGGTAAAAATAAAGGAGAAATTAAATAGTAGATGCTGTAAGGAGATTTGTCTTAAACTAATACAATAAGTACACACATACATTTTCTTAAATATTTAAATAAAACATTTGTTTCGAAATATATCTGGCTAATGTTAAAAAGTGAGAAAACAATGTAATAAATTGGTTAAAAGATTGAACATTCTACACGAGTGCAAAACAAAACACTCAATCAGTCGTAAGCTTTAAAAAGACAAACATTTACGCCAATATTTAAAAAATATCACGACGTTCATACTGAGTATGGCGTATCCAGCAATTTATTTTACTTTAATACCGACATGGTAGGATTTTATAAAGCGTTCATAAATTATGCCGAATTGCTTCTGCCATGTAACATGGTGTGCGCTAAAATGAATGTTACTGTTTCGAAGCCCAATAGCAATAAACTAAATTTCATCGGACAGTACTTTTAATTTAAATTTTATCCACAGGCTGACGAAAGTGAATTTAATTCGAACGGTGCCATCATTCATTTAACGGATATTTTTTGTTGGCAAATCTATCAAACTTTTAAAATAAGTATTGAACATTTTTATATCTACAGCTCACCTTCTAAAGCCATAAATGTGAAAGCTCCAATTATGGTGTACCCCAATACAAGGAAACATACGCCTAGTGTTGCTAGAATTGACGTCGATCTGGGACCTGGACATGAGTAGCAACAGCAAAATAATGATGGCTCTTTAGAATGGAAATCCTTGTGGTCATAGCAACACTTTTTTGATGAAGGACTACCTGAAAATAATAATGTTGTCCAGGTTTAGCTAGGCAGGCACACGCATACGCACAAAAGGAAATATTATTAGATTATTACAACAGTCGTTACCTGGAGGCGATAGTCGTCTCAGATATGTACTTTGATAATCTGAAAATGACGAAGACGGATCCTGATCTCTTATCATCTTGAGCAAATGTTGAACGCTTTCAGGATTCTTGGTCGGGACATTTAGATAAAATAGCTCTCAGGTACTCATTGAAATATTTCCTGTCGGTTACCTGTAACAAACAAATTATTTCTTTAAACTCACACTTCTTCTTGAAACACCAGAAATGATTAAATTAATTTTCATACATATAGATACTACAAGTCTTAATATTAGCTTGCAGAATTTATTGTTCGGCATTCTTATGATCAGAAACATGGATGGAGAGAAAATAAACATATGACAAACATTTGCAAAGTAGATGACACGATACAGAAACACTTTATTAAACTTGAAAAAATTAACGCAGCATAACGAATTATGTGACATGGAGAAAAGAGGGCGCTATAACGTAGTGATTTGAATGTGCTTTGGTTCACCAGAATTGTGAGCAATTGTGGAGAAGAAGTGTCTATAATTCTAGAAATCTCTAAGTTATAATATAAATATTATGCAGCGCTAAATTGGGAACTTGGTAGAAGAAAATAGTCACATTGTAATGTTTACGTTGGACTCAAAAAGTGTAAAATTTCCGGTTAAACAACTATTTCAGGGCAGAAAGACAGACTGGGTCGATAGCCTTTTTCCGTAGGAAATAAAGATTATTTATATATACTATATATATACAACTATTTCAGATATTATTATGTATTGCTATGAGCAGCGATTACGATGATCAAGCGTATGTTGAGGCTTTTAACGAAGAACGAGACAGTCGCGAAAGTCTCGATTTAAGTTAAACTGTTGAAATTTTTTTCCTGTTTTTTAGTGAGCTTTGTTAAAGAACCATCCCAGAGAACGGGTTTAAATACCAAACATTTTCAACCGTGAATGTTAGAAGAAATGAAAAAACGTGCACAAAATAATAATGACAAAATGATATGGAGCTGAACAATAATAGAGAATGGAAAATCGTACAGTTATTGAAAAACAGCTAATCATTTGTTTCTTAGTAGAGGTACTTTAGAATACGTGGGAACAGTTTTTGAAAATGGACCATAAACCAGTCTGCTCAAAGTTCTTAAGTTATATTTGCTTCTGTAAAGAAATTCAACATGAAGATTGAATATAGCTTGTAGAAAACAAATTACGTTTGCCCTCTTGTTTTTAGTGTTGTGATTTTACTGGAGTTAATATTCATTAGGGGTTGATTCAGTTAACCATTCGTACTGCATCAAATGTCTGTTGAAATCTATGAAAACCATAAAATCATGAAAGTTGGTTTTCATGCTTTTATGGAGCAAACGTTTGCTTTTATATGCCAATATAATGCAAACGTCTGTCCATGCAAAGTAAATTATACTGTATGAAATTTATCTACTTTTGATCTGTTCTGCCTGGCAAAATTAACCCTTTTTAACATTCCCTGTATTTTAAAAGTTATTGCCCTCTTTATTCTTCTTTTTGCTCAATATCTTATTCGTCTGTCGAATTATTGCTAGAGCTTGAACCTAATGCTTTTTCGGAAGTCGTTCCAGAGTTTATTAAAACCCTTTTCCAGGCTAACCCAACATCAACGTTTTAATGTATTTTATAGTTGCTTTAGTTTATTAGTTTAGTGAACAAATCATTCCTGTGTGATATTCTCGGTTATTTTTCTAACTATTTTGCAACTTATTTTTTACAATTTGCTAATGTGTTATCGTGGCAGTTGTTCCAAAAATTGACTTCTACTTGATATTTGTTATCGGGACACTTAATGAATTAATATATTTGTTTATTAAGTGGGTATATGCGATTTTGGGGATGAGGAATACAGTTGAGAGACGAAAAGTTGGAGCAAAATTTATGTTGAAATAAATTTTACAAAACATTAAAAGAAAACCAGATATACAGTTGGTATCTGACTATTTATTATATCAATCCACTTTATTATCATAAGATCCACTTAAAAACTAACTTAATTCGATTTTTCTATTAATGTTGGGTGATTTTTAATTATCAGATTAGCTACGAATATTTGGTGGCGACAAAATTAAGAAATATTAAGTAACCAGATGTGTTGTCATTTCGCAAATTTTTAATATCGAGAATATTTGCTGTTATATTTTATATTAATAAAATATCTGTGAGTAGCTCTGTCTTCATAGTTTCAAAAGTTATATGTTCGACTTAATTTTATATAATTTTAAAAAGTGTCTTTGCTTACCAGTAACATTTTCGAAGAAAACGTAAAGAAAAAAATTCAAACAGATAGAAAATGTCAGAAAAATTTTGGATGTTACAGTTCATATWAAATKTATTCCATAAAGGGTAATAAGTGTGTAACATGAAATAAGGAAMKTAAAAATTAAATTTTATTTTAGGAGATTCCCATTYCCTAGAAGATATTTCCGAAAGGCAGAAACAAATTACTCAATCAATACTTGAGCTTTAGTCATACAAAAACGTAGTCTCACACGTTTTCTGTACGTTGAAAGCGTTAAGTTCCGGATATTGTCCGGGTTTCGTTAAATGTGGTTTTCTTTATTCCTTATTGGTGACGTCGATTATTTTGTAAAACTTCGCAATAGGAACAAATTAATGCAACAGAAGATTTTTGAATTCGCTTCCAGAATTCACACTGGATTGTAGGCAACCACTTTCAATAAATGCAGCTTACAAAATCAGGCTAAAATCGTCGTAGAAATTTCAATTTCACTAGGGCCTACTCAGAAATTTAAGCAACTAATTTTGCGCGGATGAAACCGCGGTTTGCACGGCTTTCACCTGATTAGATTTCGTCTCCCAACGCTCCCCGATGGATCTCCGTTTATGCCCTGAATAAATTGAGAGCGGGATGCGATTTTGGCCCACGGAATTGCCATTGAAAGCTAATCGTTCACAACCATCTTTCGAGACTGAGCTTGCTAAGATTTCAGAATGGTACCTGCACAACTATGTAAAAGAATGGGTGCATTTCTATCATGCTAGATATACACAGTTTAAGTAAATATATAGTTTCCACCTCATAACATTTAAGTTATTGACAAAAAACCAAATAAAATCCGAAAAAGTCGGATAATGTCGGCCAATAATGCAGAAGGCAATCAAAACCCATTGGAAAGAAGAGAAAAATGTGATTCTTATTTCATAAAATCGAACAAAGAAGGAAAATATATATCCAATGTTCACTGCGAGCAATCGACTGATAATTTTTAAAACCGAACAAAGTTTCTTTTAGAATCCTTAATTGAACTTTAATTTCCAGTTAATAAAAGTCAACGTATAATATAAAGACACTTTCAATTTGACTAGAATCCTCTAAGATCTTGCGGTGGTTAATTATGTTCGAGTTGCAAATTCAGTTTGCACGCCATCTACCTGATTAGATTCCATTTTCGTCTGCACCCTAAAAGACCGTTCCTCTTATTTCAGTATTAAATGCCGGTTCTGACGTGATTAATCCGAAATAATTGCCTTTGGAAGAATGTTTCGAAAATCTCTGCTTGGAAGGTTGTTAATTCGCAAATAAGAGAAATTTGAAAGTGAATGGAACAGGTTCTGCTTTCGGAAATAAATAACAAACATGTTAGGGAAGTGCGTATTTAGCTATATTATTATGTCTGCAAATCAGCGTTAAAATTTGGTAAATGTTGCGTCTTGATTATGTAGGATTGAGACTTTTGCATTGAATCATATTATCAAAGAATGGTTATGGTCTATGTTTGACTGTTAACAATATGATAATATTTGATTAAAAACTAGAGCATTTTATTAAATTATGTTATATAAAGTTAATTATGAAATTAAACAGCTGAAAGGAAAAACTGACTGGATATTAGCCAAGACACATATTCAATACAATACATTGTAATCATACTCAGATAAATTATGAATAATCGTAGTTCTTGCAGATAATTACTGGAATTTTTGTACTTTTTGTGAACTTTTATTAATATGTTTTATTTAACGCCTATGGGATAATTTTATTTCGACATAGTTCAGCGAAATCAACAAGACACAAAATGTAAACACAAAAGTATACCTTGACCTTTCTGTATTGTATTTATTATCATCTGTTTGCATTTTAGCTTCCACCGAAAACAATAAATGTATGATTTATTTGTTGTCACCTGTCGGTTTATACGTATATGTTAGGCTAATAAACAATCTAAAGCTATTTTCACAAGTTTAGCATAGAGTTTAAACGACCGACAAACGGTTTATACTTGTCTGATACATTGAGCATTTTATTATTATACTGTTACTTTGTATGCGCTACCATACAAAGGCTGCCTTCCGAGTTAAAACTTCTATGCAATGATTTTTGATTAAAATCAGTAGCACAAAAGTAAGAAAAATAAGCATTGTCAGGATGAATGACGACCAGTCTCGGACGAAAAGCTGCCATCAGACCTAATGAGCAGCTTCGGCACCCCTCATTAGGTGTTACATTGTATTGTACTATAAAGCTTTTATAACAATTTCTCACCGAAGTTAAAACTTTAATCTGCAGGTCTTTCATAAAAATGTACACACAGAAGTTCATTGATATTGAATTTATTGTAGTCAGCTATTTATTTTATCGGTTTTGCTAGTTATAATATAAATATAAATTTACAATTTTATTACAAATGTCAAGTGCGCTACTGGATTTGTTGACAAGCTGTTCCTGTTTTATTCATTATTTATACAAAAAGTAAACGTTGCGTTTTTAGAGCAAATTTTATTTGCTTGTTGCTCTTGCTCAATATAATTTATGCCTGAACTTCAACTAACATAATAAAACTGTGTGTTGTTCATAGGGCATATGCCATGAAAAACAAGTACGTAATAGAACTAATTTATGCAACGAAGCGTGGACTGCTATTCACATAATGTGTTTTATAAATGAGCAATAATTAAAAGCATACAATTTAAAAAGTTGTAAATGAAAGGCAAAGTTCCAGTTTTAGGAAAATTAGAAGTTTTCAAAATTAATAGTTAACATGTTGCCGATAGTTTTCAACTTTACTCATTATACCATAGGTCCGCATCAAGGTGGCACAGATTCAAAACTTAAAAAAACGTATGATAGAAATAAGCAAAGCGATATGATGCATTATAAATTATATTCGAGAATCGCGTCGTAAGGGAATACATGTTGTTCAA